CCCACTGGAATTAATTTATTCCATTCATATTAATCTTCATTACAAATCTAACTGATGGAGGAACTTCTGGGTGTTTAGGTCCACATTCTACTTTCAGGCTATGTATTCTGTTTTCATAATTTGTCCTTGGTGGCCCAATAATCATGCCTGTCCATGTTGTAAGTGTCATATCTTCATCATCTTCAAGGCCCCAGCTAACTGTACTACTCCTTTTTGTCCTTCAAGTTCTTCCAACAAGTGAAAATTATGAGGAACGCCTGAGCCCACGGGCTCGATACCCGCCTGGGCAACTTGGCGAGACCTCATCTCTACAATAAATCAAAAAATCAGCCGGGCGTGGTAGCGCGTGCCTGTAGTTCCCGCTACTCGGAAGGCTGAGGCGGAAGGATCGCCGGAGCCCAGCAGGTCGAGGCTGCGGTGGCCGGGAGCGGCCACTGCACTCCAGTCTGGGTGACAGAATAAGACTCCAACTCAAAAAAAAAAACAATTATGTGGAACTTTAACTCCTGTGGAGATCACCATCTTCTCCTGCAGCCTGACGCAGCTGTGCTAAGTTCTTGTACTTAGATGTGCATGCTGTTGCTTAATCTCGTTGCTGATAATTTTAGTATTGATCATTTGGTTAAAGTGGTGCCTGCCAGGTATCTCTACTGTAAAGTTACCATTTTTTGCCCTTTGTAATCGAAAAGTATCTTATAGAGTGATGGTTTGAGACCATGTAAATACCCTATTATTTCTTAATTTTTTACATAAAAGTTTTTTTTTACATAAAAGATTAATCCATTCGTGATTCCTGCTTAAATTAGCTATTATTATGGCGGTTGCTGTCTTAGTAAATTTTACGCTGCTACACCAGAATACCACCAACTGGATAATTTATAATGAACCAGCATGTATTTGGCTCATGGTCCTAGAGCTGAAAAACATGAAGAGAGCATTTCAAGGAGGAGAGAGTGGTCAGTCGTCAGGTGCGGCAGACAGGTCAAGGGGACTCATGACGTCACGTGGACATCGGACCTGGCAACGCGGAGGTCACTGGTGACCTTTTTTTTTCTTCAGATTTGTTTTTTATTATCTTTATTTTTTAAAGATGTGGGGTAAACAAGTCAGGATTGGATACATAAGTGGTCTAGGTGCAGGTGAAGTCTGGGCCTCTCACTGGCCCTCACTGCACCTGGATTAGGATCAGTCACCCTTATTGATTTTCTGAGACCAGCGTGGGCAACATGGTGAGACCTCATCTCTACAATAAATAAATAAAAAAGTTAGGGTGAGGTGGAGAGATCACCCAAGCCCAGACTGAACCCCAAGACCAGGAACAAGTCAAGGGTGTCTGCTCTCACACTTGTTATTCGACACTGAATGAAACAGAATGAAGAATCCAGAAAGAAATTCACACACATACGGACAATTGATTTTCAACAAAGGTGCAAAGGCAATTCAGAGAATAAAGACTCTTCTTTCAACTAACAGAGTTGGAGCAGTTAGATATTCATATGCAAAATAGATTACCTTGGACCCATACCTTGTGCCATATTTTTTAAAAAATTAACCCAAATGAACCACTGACTTAAGTAATAATTTTATATAATTATGACATAACTGGAGAACTTCTCAAAGAACGTGTAGGATAAAACCTTTGTGAATTTGGGTTAGACAAATTTTCTTAGCTATGGCACCAAAAACATGATGCACAAAAGAAATCATTGATAAATTGGACTTCACCAAGTTAAAAACATCTGCTTTTTGCAAAACATCATTATGAGAATGAAAAGACAAACCACAGATTAGGAAAAAATACTTTCAAATCATATATCTAATAAAAGACTTGTATTCAGAATATACAAAGAATTACCAAAATTCAATAATAGAAAAACAATCTAATTTTTAAAAAAGAATTCACCACTTGCCCACCAAGGACATTATGCGGACATCAAAGAAGTCCATGAAAAGCACTCAATATGGCTAATTAGTAAGAAAATGAAAATAAAAACAATAAAATATCACCACACACCCATCAGAATGACTAAAAAAGGACCATAGCATGTTGGCAAGGATGTGGAGGAAATGGAACATTCATATGCTGCTGGTGGGGATGTGAAAGTGTGCAACCACCTCAGAAAATAGGTTGGCAGTTTCTTAAAAAGTTAAAACAGCCAGGTGCAGTGGCTCATGCCTATAATCCCAGAACTTTGGGAGGCCGAGGTGAGAGAATTGCCTGAGCCCACAAGTTTGACAAAAACCTGGGCAACTTGGCAAGACCTCATCTCTACAATAAATCAAAAAATTAGCCAGGCGTGGTGGCAAATGCCTGTAGTTCCAGCTACTTGGAAGGCTAAGGAGGAAGAATCACCTGAGCCCAGCAGGTCGAGGCTGCGGTGGCCATGAGCATGCCACTGCACTCCAGCCTGGGCAACACAGACTCCAACTCAAAAAAAATTTTTTTTAAGTTAAAACATACACTTATCATATGATTCAGTCACTCCACTCGTAAATATTTACTCAAGAGAAGTGAAAGAATATGTTTTTATAAAGACATGTTTTTTAAAGACAAATGTTTGTAGCAGCTTTATTTACAATAACAATAACACTACTGGGAACAGCACAAATGACCACCAGTAGGTAAATGGACAAATAAACTATGGTAGACCCACACAATGGAATTTTACTCAGCAGTAAAAAGGAATGCGCAAATATAAGCTACAAAACGAAGGAATCACAAAATGACCATTGAGCACACCAGGCGTGGTGCGCCTGTAATCCCAGCACTTTGGGAGGCAGACGTGAGAGGACTGCCTGAGTCAATGGGTTCAAGACCAGCCTGGGCAACTTGGAAGACCTTATCTGTACAACAAATCAAATAATGAGGTGAGCATGGAGTTGCACACCTGTAGTTCCAGCTACTTGGAAGGCTGACGTGGAAGAATCGCCTGAGCCCAGCAGGTCAAGGCTGCAGTGGCCGTGAGCGTGCCACTGCACTCCAGCCTGGGTGACAGAGTGAGACTCTGACTCAAAAGGAAGGAAAAAAAAGACTGACCATTGAGTGAAAGATGTCAGACCAAAAGAGTGCACACTGCATAGGTTGGCTTCTGTAACATTTTAGGAAATACAACACGACTCTGTAACATTTTAGGAAATACAAAGCAGATCTCTGGTTGCCTGAGGATGGGGCGGGTGATGGGAGGACTGTAGTGAAGGGATGTCAAGGAAACAAGAGAACAATTTTTAGGGTGCTGGATTGTTCACTGTCTTGATTGTGGCGATGGTTTCATTAACAGATGCATTTGCCGCTTAAGTACATGTAGTTTATTTTATGTCAGGTGCACCTCAATAAACTATTAAAAACATACATTTTGAAAATATTTGGAATTTTTACACAAGGTTAACTTTCCTTAATGCATTTTTAAAAATAATTATGTACAAAAAAGCCCAAAATCAAAGTACACAAATCTCCTCTAGACTCACAAATACTGAGAGCTGCAAAAATATTGTCATTTCCTACCTGTGCCATGGGGTGGGAAAAAGACTAGCTCTGAGGGTCACTCTTCCATCCTTGTGAGGAAGGGCGGCATAGTGTTGTCATTGGCTTTGAAGCACCAAAGGATGACATAGCAGGGGAGTCCCCAAGGACAGGACGGACAACGCCCTCTCCAGATGCTCCGTCCACTTTCTTGAGAGGTGAGTAACTGAGGTTTGAAGAGCAGACAAGTGACTGCTGGAGCTCAGCCATCCCTGGCCCCAACCCACGAGTCCCGGTCCCCATCAGCAGCCACGCAGGGCAACATTGTGAGGCAGAAGGCAGCGGCAAGTGGAGGTGGAAAGGGGAAAACACAGTGATTGGGTTTCCAGGTTCCAGCAGGACTTTGTAAGCAGACTCAGCTCCCCACAGGGCCTCTGCCATCTTGCTGCCCCTAAAGGCTGCCCTCTCCCCTCTGGGCACAGAGAGGATTTTCAGAGGACAGTCAAAGCCACAGAGCCTCCAGCCAGACACAGAGCTAGAACCAGCCTTGTCTATGGTCAAAATGGGAACAAGACAGAACCTGGTCTTGACCACGAAACAACAGGGGCAGTAGAGTGTGTGGGTCGGGAGGGAATGCTGAGAGCCCAGAGTGAGTCTACCTGGGCTCAAGTCATTGCTTTGTCACTTAACAGCCATGTGCCCTTGCGAACTACTTAATTGCTCAGTGCCTCAGTTTCCCCATCAATGCAATGGAGATAAGAGTTATAGAGTAACTCTTATAGAGGATTAAAGGAGCCAATAGCTGGAAAATGTTTAGACAAGCTCCTGGCACAAAATATGCTCTGTAATATGTCTGCTATGACTGCATTGTTTTATCCTTTTAAAAATCTTCCTTCCCTTTCTTGTACCATATCAGACAACTCAGGTGGGTACACATGGCAGATCGAGCGTCCAACCACATAACTCATGGGTGTAGGGGCGGCTCCCACCGGCAAGTTCTTCAGGTTTGGGGCTCTTATTTTTTTTTTATTTCTATGGCTCTGGCTACTAAGAACCTCAGGGAAAATCTAGAGACCATGTCTTAGAGGCCTGAAGATTAGGGTGGACTGATTCCTGTGAGTTCCACCATCACCAGCAGGGGGCGGTCGGCACCAAGCTTTGCGTGGCTTTGCTCGCCCGTCCCAGGGCACAGGCGGCTTATACTATTGGAGAGAGAGTCACTCTGGCTGTAAGCCACAGCTGGACTTGTGGGCACGGCCGCTTTCCAAACTCGACTTTCCTCGTTCCCCACCTGCCCCGTTTCCTGGAGGTAGAGCCTCACACCATACACCCCTCAGCCTCAGTTTCCCTCAGTTCTCAGTAAACTAAGCGTTGTCACCTCCAGCCCTGAGGTTTTCCCCAGCTTGTGTCCCGAACTATATCAAATTCTCGTTCCAGTGTAACCCTCGCACCCACAAGGGGTTTCAAAGTCCAGGCTGAGGCCTCCCCCCTCCCACCCCTATCCCCCACAAAACAGCATCAATGAAAGACCCACAAATTATCTTTTTTAAAAATCATGTCTTTATTGTTTGATTCACAAACTGGCTGGGAGGGGCAAGAATAGGACTTGTGGGGAAATACCCAACTTTGATTAGTCAGAAACTCCTGCTGATCTGTACAAAAGATGAATGTTACAAAAAAATCACATAAAAAACCAGGGTCAGCAAAGCAGCAGCCCCTGCGGATGAGGGTTCAAGGCACCTGGGAGGCTGAGAAACGGCCCAACCTGGCCCTGGGGCGTGGCAGAGGGGCTCTGGGGCTGCCGTCCTCCCCTCCTGCCCCTGCCCTTCTCTCTCCCCCGGCTCACAATTCACTACAAAACTGCCCTCCAAAGGGCATAAATACCACCGGCCAAGGCACTGCCAGAAATGAAAAGGGCCTGCCCGAGCTGAGCCCTGAACTTCCCCTGGCCTGGGCCTGGAGAAGGCATGCCCTTGTCTCCGGGTCCCCACAGTGGCCGTAGAAAAGCCTCTTAGGAGAGTCTCAGTCTCTGCCTCTGGGAGGCAGGGGCTGTGGGACCTGCACGCTGGTACACCCAGTACAGGCTTTGGTCATGCCAGCATGGGCAGAGGCCGCAGGCCTGTCCCACACCATCGCTGCTACAGCCACTGTCCCAGGCTGGGCGCTAGTTGGGGTAGCACAGACAGCACCCCGTACCCGTTGCCTCCACGCCGGCCTTGGCGCCGGGTCCCAAGAGCCCGTCAGTGACAGAGTGCTCTGCAATGATGTCCTCCACCCGGGTGATGTACAGCAGCGTCAACAGCACGCCAAGGAACTAGGAAGAAGGGGCAAGGCTGGTGAGAGCATGGCAGGCATTAGAGCAGCCCTCCTTGGCAGTTCCCGGCTCCCAGAAACCCAAGCAGCCAGTCTCGAGCCCTCGTGGCATTGGGCGACCTGGGAAACAACCACAGAAGAGACTTCTCCCAGCATTCCCACTCCTCAAGCAGCCCCAACCTGGACCCCCTCTGCCCCTTCCAGGAAATTCCAGAGAGGCTCCCCGAGCCCCATCATCAAAGGTCCCACCATTCTGATTCCTGCCTCCACCCCACTTCTGCCAGGCACTGTCTAGAGGACCGTGTGGGCAAGCCACTTAACCTTGGCAATTCTCAGCTTCCTCCTCTGTGAAATGGGCATGATAATAGCAGCCACCTCAGCCGGGCTCGGTGGCTCAGCCTGTATTCCCGCACCTTGGGAGGCTGAGCTCACGGGTTCGAGACCCGCCTGGGCAACTTGGTGAGACCTCATCTCTACAATAAATCAGAAAATTAGCCAGGTTTGGTAGCACATGCCTATAGTACCAGCTACTTGGAAGGCTGAGGCGGAAGGATCGCCGTAGCCCAGTAGGTCGGGGCTACAGTGGCCAGCAGCGGTCACTGCACTCCAGTCTGGGTGACAGAGTGAGACTCCAACTCAAAAAAAAAAAAAATTGTAGCCACCTCACAGAGAGATGTGAAGGAGTTGGGGCCCGGGAAGCACCTCAAAGAGCTTACCTGCCAGTGCTACTGCCACTCACCCCCTCCCTCCAGCCCTGCGGCCCTCCTAGGGTGAAGCCAGGCTCTTCACTCAGGCCCGCACACCTCCGGTGCCCTTCTCCTGTAACTGCCAAGCCACACTCTCTCTGAACCTACAGCCTGCCCACCTGGGGAAGCAGGATGCCCAGCAGGATGCCCGCCATGATGGTGTAGTTGTCCATGAACCAGATGAGCACGGCGTTGGTGCAGCCCCGCACGTAGATGATGTTCTGCACGCTGAGACGCTGCACGGGAAGGAGCCAGGTCAGCCCAGCGGGGCACCTCGCTGGACCAGGGCCCGAGCGCCGACTCTGCCATTCACTCAGGGTCCGAGCCAGTGTCTCAGCCACTCTGAGCCTCAGCTTCCCAGATACAGTGTGAGAAGGTGGGCCTAGATCACTTGTTCTCAGTGGACAGTACTGTTCCCTAGAGAACACTGGGGACACTGTGATGGCACTTCTTGTTGTTCCACAATCGAGTTTGGGGGCTGAGGGACTGCAGAGCTCAGGACAATCCTACTCTACAAACAACTGCCCTGCCTGCGTGCCCCTCGGACATCCCTCAGGCATTGGTGTAGGTGAAAAACCTATTCATTATTGTATGAACCAAAACCCTAACTCCAGTTAAATATACAAAACAAAGAGCCGGGCACAGTGGTGCATGTCTCAGTGACTTGGGAGGCTGAGACAGGAGGACTGCTTGAGCCTAGGTGTTTGAAGCCAGCCTGGGCAACATAGCAAGACCTCGTTTCTAAATAATAACAACAAAGGCTGAGGCGAGTGGACTGCCTGAGCCCGTGGGTTCGTGATCAGCCTGGGCAACTTGGCAAGATCTTGTCTCTACAATAAAAATAAAAAATTAGCCGGGCTCGGTGGCTCAGCCTATAATCCCACGCCTTGGGAGGCTGAGGTGAGTGGATTGCCTGAGCCCGCGGGTTTGAGACCCACCTGGGCAACTTGGCGAGACCTCACCTCTACAATAAATTTAAAAAATCAGCCGGGCGTGGTAGCGTGTGCCTGTAATTCTGGCTACTTGGAAGGCTGAGGCAGAAGGATCGCTGGAGCCCAGCAGGTCGAGGCTGCAGTGACTGGAAGCAGCCACTGCACTCCAGTCTGGGTGACAGAGTGAGACTCCAACTCAAAAAAAAAAAAAAAAAAATCAAAAATTAGCCAGGCATGGCAGCATGTGCCTGTAGTTCTAGCTACTTGCTACTTGGAAGGCTGAGGCGGAAGGATCACTGGAGCCCAGCAAGTCAATGCTGGGGTGGCTGTGCGTGTGCCACTACACTCCAGCCTGGGCAACAAAGTGAGACTCCAACTCAAAAAAAAATAACAACAACAATAATAATAACAACAAATATTTTCTGCATTGGTTTTAATATACAATGAGTTTTCTAGAACTACTATTATATAAATTAAAGTGATTATACTTTATGTAATTCATAACTTTATCAAGGATTGGTTACCCTTTTTAAAACTATGCCAACAGCAAAAATGATGCCCACGGTATGAAAGAGGCTAACACAACTCCCTATATCAGCAGCCCTGTAGCTACCCCAGTCTCGGGGATTCTTCCATCAGTACAAACAACTGACTGCTCCATAGTGTCTCTTCTGTACCCAACTATTGCCTGAGCACATTCGCGTTGAAATATGTTATACAGTTCTATACTGCTTTATTTTCTCTCCTCTTGATCTTAGATCATTACATCAGTTGTTTTGAAATTAGGTATGCAGGTGGGTTCTATTGTCTATCGATTTCATTTTGGCATCATGCATAGGGCATTACCAAGTGCCTGCTATAAAAAGTGGCTGTTGGCTCTGAGGGGCTGAGAACCACTGCAGGTCTGTTGCCCCCAATCTCCAACATGCTGGGCCCCACCCCAAGAATGCGCATTCCTAACAAGTTCCCAGGGGTTGCTGTCTGGGACCACACTTTGAAAACCACTGCTCTGAGGCATCTCAGGTCACCATTATTTTTAGCTCCCTTCCAGCACCACCTCCTCTTTTCTCCTAGTTCAGGGGAGTTGCCTAGGAAGCAGACCTGGGGACACCTTCAGAGGTCTTGCTGTCCTCTAGGGACTCCTAAGTCCCAGGCAGAGAGAGCTGGCACCCGAAGGACACAGCCAGGCGCACAGCATGCTAGGGGTGCCTCCAAGGACTGCCGTGGCATCGGTGGGCCAGCCCACCATAGGTGCTCGGCAAACCCTGGCAGGTGTCATCTCCCAGGCTGGAGGATGCTTGATTCCCTGAGCTCTTCTGTGTGGGGCAGGAAAATCCCAGCAGTTCCCGCTCCAATTCACAGCCAGGAAAGCTGGGAAATCTCAGTAGCCAGGAGCCCCACCTCCAGAACCTGCCCTCCACCCCCAGCTGGGGATAGGAAGGGAAGAACATTCCAGGGAAAGGCATTTCAAACATTACCTCCTTGTCGATAGTTTTGTAGCCACACATGGTATTGACAACTTCTGTCTGAAATGGAAATGTATAATAGCTGACGTTTAATGATGGTACTCACTCTAAAAGACCTGTTATTCTACCCATTTTACAGATGAAACAACTGAGGCATCTGGCATGGGTGGAGCTGAGATTCCAACACAGGCAGTCTGGCTTGAGTCTGCACCTTAACCAACTCCCCATTCCCACCCCAAAGACACGCCCAGTGAGGAGATGTGGGAGGGCTAGTTCCAAGGTTCTTGCGTGGGAGTGCCGCCCCTCCGCCAGCAGCAGACCAGGACCCTGGGGAAGCGTTTCCTGCCGGGCTTCCCTGCTGGGGCCGCCTCAGGACACCATCTCAGAGGTAGGACTGGGCTGCTCCTGCTTTGTTGGTTTTTAGAGAGGAAAACCTCAGACCACAGCTGGGACCCTGGTCAGCTGAGGTTTACCTGAGGGCAAGGCCGGGCCCCAGGAGACGGCTGCCCCTAGACTGCTGACCCATAATGGAGTGTGCTACCAAGTTTCCTGGCTGGGAAGAGAGTCGCTTTCCAGGATGACCAGCTGCTGGTTAATGCGGGTGCAGGGCAAGCTGTGGCCAGGCTCCACCTTATCAGAACCCTCCCCAGGCAGGACCTACATAACAAACTGGCAGGGGCATGTCCCATCACTGCCTGTGCCCTGTGGGGTCTCCTCCATCTATTAGGTGAGAGAACAAGACCCCTGCTCCAGCCTGTGACCCCTGCCAACCACCCCCTTCCCCCCCACCACTGGGGGTTGGGTACCACTGGTGCTAGTGATGACACAGGGGACCAAGAACAGAGTGCCCAGCCTAGCCTCTGGCTTCCTGGGTCCAGAACCTCCTCTGTCCCTTAAGAACCCCATGATTAACCACAGGTGAGCTTGCTGTGGAACTGGCACAAGGCACTCAATAAGTACTTGTTGAATGAATGAATGACTAGGTCATGATGATCAATGAACCCACCTCTGGGGCTGTTTTGGTCATGAGTGAGACATACATAATATATAAAGTGCTTGTCACAGGGCTGGGCACAAGAGCACAGGAACACCAGTTGGAGAAACTTTGCAATTCCAGCCCTGGAAAGACAAGGAAGGACATCTCTCCCTCTAAGAACAGGGGCTGGGCTTTAGATGTCATCCAGACCATTCTAAAAGCCAGGGCTTGCTGTGTGGGCAAAACAGCCTCTCTCAGTCTACACAGCGCCCGGGCGCCCTCAGACCCAGCAACACCCAGTGGTCACTTGGCATTTATCTGTCAGCATTTGTGGTCCTTTTAGGCCATGAACATGACCCCCAGGAAAGCATGAGGCCTGGAGAGCAGGTGTACGAGCACAAGACAGGAATGGCTGCCATTCATTTCAATTGTTTATGGATTCATTCATTGAACAAATACTACCCTTGGAATGCTGAACAAAGAAACAAATTCCCTACCTTCATGGCACTTTAGTGGTAGAAAGGAAGACAATGAACAGAAGAAAAGTAAACTAGATGGCATATAAGGAGGTGACAAGAATAACTTCACCGTGCCAGCCCTGGAGGCCTCAGGGATCTAAGTTTCCTGCCAGACTGGCAACTGGCAGAGGCATCTTTCACACTAGAGCCTGGAACCCTTTTCCAGGCCCTAGGGGACTCACCTCCCCCTGCCAGGAGAACCCCTTACCACGGGGTAGGGGTGGGATGCGTCCATGGTCTCTCAAAAGGTAGAGCCTGCCTGGGTTCGACCACAGAATCGGCATTCTGCAAGAGAATCTGCTGAAACTCACAGACCCTAAGACCAGTTGTCCAGGGGCCCCTCCCATCCAGCACAGGACCACGAGACAGGAGTCAGAAAGGGGACTCCTGCACGGTCAAGAGACCAGCCAGCAAGTCCTCAAGGGCGACCTGTGTATGCTTCCTCTCGCTCTAATGCAGAACCGAGGAGCTGGTGGTTTGGGGTCTGAGCAGCTAACGGGAAGAGGGAGACAGGCCTTCAGGACAGGTCCCTGTGGGCCAATGACAAGGGAGGGGATGTCGATGAATACTGGACACAAGAGCTCAACAGGACAGCAGTCTGGAGTCATTTAACATAAGCTGCCCTCTACGGCTCCCAGGGCTATCTCAGCATAACCAAATTTTACAAGCCTAGGTGAACTTCTGTTGCTCCAAATCCTCTATTTTAGGCCAGGCACGGTGGCTCATGCCTATAATCCCAGCACTTTGGGAGACTGAGGTGAGAGGACTGCCTGAGACCACAGGTTCAACACCAGCCAGGGCAACTTGGCGAGACCTCATCTCTACAATAAACAAGAAAATAAGCTGGATGTGGTAGCACACACCTGCAGTTCCAGCTACTTGGAAGGCTGAGGCAGAAGGATCACCTGAGCCCAGCAGGTCAAAGCTGTGGTGGCCGTGAGCATGCCACTGCTTTCCAGCCTGGGTGACAGAGTGAGACTCCAACTCAAAAAAAAAAAATTATTTTAAAGCTGAGAGCTAGAAAAAAAAAAGTTACTTTCTCAGAAGAACTGGTATGTTTTCTTTTATCGAATAGTATCACTGTAACAGGCCATGTCTCCTTTTTAATTTGGCTGCCAGGAAGCTCTATGCCACTGGACACAAGGTTCATTTTCAGTGGTTCCATAAGGTCCTTAGGCTCATATCAACATTTTATATTTTCTCCACTATCTGGGCCTCCAGTTTTAGAATATAATTTCCATGGCACTAAGTTTTGTTTAATTTTTTATTCTATATATTTCCAGTATACTCATTCAAATCCCTTGTTGAATAGAAAAGTATAAAATAAATAGATTTGTACACAAATCAACCAGTGTATTGAGGAAGGAAACACCTTCTTTCACATTTAGAGAAAATCATCCCAGGTATAGTGGCACAGGGACAACCAATGATGGTTGTGTGATACAGAGCCAGAGATAACCTCTGGAGAAAGCTGTCTCCTGCCTGGTGTTCTCATCAGACACTGGCTGCAGATCCCACCCTCTGCAGACAGCACCCACGTTCATACCCCCAGCCTGGCCCTCTCCTCCAAACTCCAGACTCCTCTATCAACTGCATCTCTGACGTCCCTGCTGGAACCTCGAGCAGGCTCTCCAATCCCACATGTTCACACTGAGCTCCTGGTGCCCCCAACCTGCCTCCCCACAGTCCTCCCCACTCAGGCAACAGTAGCCCCATCTCTCCTGTGGCTCAGGCCAAAACCCACGAATCCCCCTGGACCTCTCTGTCACTCACTTGACCAGTCGGCACGTCCTGTAGGCTGACTTGCACAGCACAGTCAGAATGTCATCACGGCTCATCACCTCCAGCACCACCCCTTGGGCTCTAAGCCTCTGTCTTCTCCTGCCTGGAGCAGTGGACCCATCAGGAGCCCTTAGCTGTCAGACACCTTCAGTGACAGTCTCACGTGATCATTGATTTTATGTGTCAACTTGACTGGGCCACGGAGTGCCCAGATATCTGGTCAAGCATTCCGGGTGTTTCTGTGAGGGTGTTTTTGGGTGAGATTAACATTTAAAGCAGTAGACTGAATAAAGCAGACTTTCTGATGTAGGTGGACATCATCCAATCAGCAAAGGACTCAACAGAACAAAAGGCCATCCTCCTCCACCCCCACCCCGCCAATAAACATAAGACTCTTCCTGAATGACTGCTTTTGGACTGAGCTGAAACACAGGCTCTTCCTGGGTCTGGAGACTGACCAACCTTCAGCTGGAAACTATAGTCAGCTCTGCTGGTTCCCAGGTCTTTGGACATCACTCCTTTGGTCTCCAGCTTGCTGACCCATGAAGATCTTAGGACGAGCTGCCCTCCATAATCATGTGAGCCAATTCCTCGTAACAAATTAGTCTATCTATCTATTATCTATCTATCCGTCTATCATCTATCTATCAATCTATATTAGTCTATTATCTATCTACCTATCATCTATCTATCTTGGCTGAACAAAGCCAACAAGTATCTTCTTCATCACTCATGCAATACCTGGTCAGTGTGGGAATACAAAGGCCCAGCCCCACACTCCGATACAGGACAGCGCTGAAGGATTCTCCCTGTAGAGCTGACGGAGGCCCAGCAGAACTGCACTGAGACTCCATCATTGCCAACTTCTCTTCTGCCCAACCATGCTTCTGGCTTCTCCCTTCCACAGGTGCTGACCTGAGGGCACCTCCTAGCAAGCCTCCTGCTCACCTGCCATACCTCATAGCCGGCTTCCCTGGGCAGGCTGACCTGTGACCCCTGGATCGCTGCACACTAGTCCCTAACCGGATGCCCAGCATCCACCCAGGCCTCCACAGTAGCCAGGGTGATGCAGGTAAAACCCAAGTCAGACCCATTACTCCACCACTGAAGCCCTGCATGGCCCTGTCACTTAAGAACACCCCACAGTCCTGCCCGTGGGCTTCAGGTCACCCAGGACCTCCCTGGCTCCACCTCCTACCATCCTTCTGTGTGCTCACACTCTAGTCACACTGGTCTCTGTGCTGCTTCTTAAACACCCCTGGGCAATGCCCTCAGGACCTTTGCACTTGCTGTTCTCTCTGCCAGGACTTCCCTCTCCCAGACACCAGCCTGGCTCACGCCCTCACTTCCTTCAGGGTTTCACTCAGAACCCACCTGCTTGGCACCCCAAACTGCAATCCTCCATGCCCGGCTTTATTTTTATCTGTAGCATTTATCCCCTTCTCATGTACTATCTTTTACTTATTTTGTTAGTTTTCCCTACTAGGATGTCACCTCCATGCAGGTAGAGACTTCTCTGTATGTCTGCTATACCCCTAGAGCCTAGAAACGTGTCTGGCACATAGTACGTCCTCAATCAACATCTGCTGAATGAATGAATATAACTTGGGCTTCCACATCTTGGCTTGGACATTCAGGTGCTGCTTCCCAAGAGCGATGAAGTCCAGGAGCCCCCCACAGGCTCTTTGGAAACCCTGAGTTCCTCCCCAGCACTCCCCCTGCCCAAAGAGCTACCCTAAAATGGCAACTGAAACTTCCAAACAAAACTCTCCTGCTGGCTCGGCCTTTTAGGGCTAGTGCAGTTGGCGCTGGCTCCCAACTCATGGGTGAGGCCCCCACCCGCAGCTGCTCGGATTACAGAATCCGGCAGTGGGCACAGAACAGAGATGTCAAAAGAGAAACTTTCCATGACTACTCGAGGAATGAGTAATTGCGAAGCTCTCCACCTCACTCCAACCAGAAACAGCTTCTGGACACATTCGTCAAACACACAGATTGACGAGGTCTCACACTTAAGCAGTGACTGCACAGCATAGTACCTTAAACAACTGAGGAAGTGACAGAGGAGCACGCTGAGAAGAGGAGGTGACTGGCATTTACGTCTCCAGACCCCCTTCCAAGCACCCTGTTGCGATGATCACCAGGACCTCAAGGTCAAAGTCCTCGGTGCCAAGGGACAGGCCCTGCTCTACCTCCTATTAATGCTGCAGAGCTGGCCGCCTCCCCTTGACCATCCCCCAAACTGGAAGTCTCTCCCCCTGTCCCTCACCTGTCTTGTACAGTGCTCCAAAGTGCAGCTCAGGCAACGGCTGCCTGCGTTTCATCCCTGTCCTGCCAGCCCTGGGCAAGACACCTGTCCTCTGGGTGCCTCAAGGCTCTCATCTGTAAAGTGGGTAAAATAACAGTACCTACCTCACAGGTTGTGGCAAGGATTCAATAAGTGAATACAACCAGAAACCTGGAAGAGGCTTCCACATGGTAAGTACTCAACAGATGTTAACTAGCACCACTCATAAAGACAAGGCTTCCCCATACCCCTCACTCTTGCACCCACAGAATCTCCACTCTCAGGAGCCCTGATCACCACTTCCTGTCTACCCCCCGCCCACCCCCACCCCCACCCCCATCACCCATCTTGAACTTGGGCAGAAAGAGATGACTTTGACCAGCTGGGGTGGCCCCCAGTATCCCCACCCAGAGCAGTAGCTACCGTGTTTCTGATGCAGCAGGTGTAAGGCACCCCGCAGGCCAGGGGTCCTGGGGCCATGCAGTCATGGTACAGGTTTTTGCTCCAATCTCGGTAGTCCTCCCCACCACAGCACTTGAACTGAGGAAGGAAGCAGGCAGGGAAGAGGGGCTGCCGTCATTGCCAGGGTCCTGTCAGGTGGCAGGAAGGGGCCCTGCCAGGAGATGGATGCCATTTATTATCTGGGTCACCCAGGTGGGGGAGAGGCTGTACATGGTCAGGTCACGGCTATCGAAGAGTGTCATGGCTGCCTAGAAGGTAGTGAGCACCCCGTCACTGGAGAGGCATGCAAGCCAAGGCTGGGCTGTCTCTCGGTGGGATATCAGGGTGGTGACTTCCTAGACAACTGGACTTACCTTCTCCATCTTCGTGTCCCCAGTGCAAGTGCCGGGCTGGAGAAGATGGCTTGTAAGATCCCAGAGACCATGACCCTATGAAAATCCCTATACCACAGGGGACCTCCTCACCCGGACTAGAAGCTGCTCCATCCAGCTCAGCTGGTCCTGCTCTTAGCAAGGGGGCACACATACCTCACATCCTGCCTGGGGCTCTCTCCTTTTAGCTGCCCCCCACCGCTCCTACCTGAACCAGCGCCGGGCCTGTGAGAAGTAGCTGGCAACCCTACTTTCAAGGCATTATCCTGTGTGCGGCAGAGACAAGGTGGGCAAAAGCAATGTGGCCTCTGCCCATGGGGATCATGTCCCAGGGCAGGGAGACCAAGCAGAAGCACTGAATGAAAAGGTCGGAGGGCAGGTCTATGTACACTGGATATGGAGAAATAGGGGAAGGGAGTGGGCTCTAGGCTGGGAGGTCAGGAAGGGGTACTCTGAGGAGAGGACATTTCACCTAAAACATCAATGACAGGGAATAGCCAGTCGACCCACACAAAGGCCCCATATAGAAGCAAGCCTGTATCTCGGCAGTGGGCACAGGGGTCAATGTGTTTGGAACAGAATGAGCGAGAGTGGAGGGATGATGTCAAGAGGGTGGCACAGGCTGGGCCTCACAAAGCCCTGGAAGCCAGATTAAGCAGGGAGCTGGGATTGTTTTCAAGGAGTGATGGGAAATCACTGGAGGGCTCTACTTGGGAACAGCTAGAAACCCAAGCCAGATACCCTTCTGGAGTTCCCAAGGTCTCCTTTGGCCATCAGGTTTTAGGAACTGGAAGTGCCTTTCTGTGATGCAGTTCAAAGGGCATTTGCTGTGCAACCAGCCAGACCCAAGGTCAAATCCTTACACCACCACTCCCAGCTGTCTGACCTCAGGCAAGTTGGTTGACCACTCTGTGCCCGAGTGTTATCTGTAAATCAAGAAGAGCAATGGCAGCTTTGCACAGCTGAACTGTGATGGCATACCGAGGCCATGAGCAGAGCACTCAGCACAGGGACTGGCACCAAGCAGGTGCCCAATGAGTATTCGTCACCCCCTATCCCCACCCAGAGAAATGAAATCCCCAAGCCAGCTAACGGCTGGTTCCAACAAAAACATTTCACTCCACCCGGAGCGGGAGTCAGCTCTCCCAACCAGAGCTGGCAGGCACATTCCTGGCAGAAAAAGGCCTTCCAGAGGCTGCACCTGCTGTGACTGGAGAGAAGGTCTGAGTCAAGGGAGTGGCCGCAGCAGGTGGCCCCACAGGTCAGGTCCTAGGAAGCGCTATCCCCGAATGAGTGGGCCTGTGGCCCTCAAACACTGCTGGTCAATGATGCCCGCAGCTGACACTGTAGTCTTCTCCTGTGCCAGGCACTGGTCTAAGCACTTCTTCTGAATCAACTCAAGATAATCCTCAAAATAACACTAAGAGGGGACTACTATTATGCCCCTCCTACAGATGAGGAACATAAGGCTCAGGGCTAAACGAGACTGATGTATAAAGGCCACCAAGGACAGTGGCTGACCCTACTACTGCTATTATTATTACCGCACTGACAGATTGGGTGGACCTGGGCGGGAGAGATGGTCCCAAAAGGACACATGATCATCATCACATCTAAGGAAAAGTCACAGGATCTGTGCCTCCAATGTGGGAGGAACTGGAATCAGTGAAAAGCTTTCTCCCCATTGGAGATTTCCTTGTCTTGACAGAGAGTGAGTTCTCCATCACTGAAGGGACATGGCAGAGGGGGCTTTGGACTATGGGAGGTCACTCCCACCTCAGGGAAGGAGGATTCTTGCCCATTGGAGGGGGGCTCCCTGGGACCCTGTAGCTTGTAGCTGCACCTGACCTTGTTGTTGTGTTTTGGGGGCAGGGGGAGCCTGGAGAGGGACAGGTAGCAGGTAGGTTGAGGATGTTCTGGGCCAGACACATGGCAGAGTACTGGCTGAGAAGGCTGGGCCCTGGCTTCCCCATCCTCAATGTGCCAGCCAGCTGCTTTGGGAATAGATAAGTCCCTCGACTTTCACTCCATCATCTTGACCAAATGAGGGACTAACGGCATGGGAGGTCCTCTAACCCAAGCACTTGGCTCACCTTCTCCTGAACAAAGTCCATGATGTTTTTGAAGTCCAGATCATCATAGTAGTTCACAATTCCTCTTCGAATGTTGTCATTCAGAAAGTCAATGGTCTATTTAGAAGGAGAAATTTACCAAAAAAAAATTCAAAGGAGAAAACCGCACCCTCCCAAAGACCAGCCCAAGATTTCCTGGAAGCCAGGATTGATGAGTGCCCTGGGGGGGCAGCTCCCACCCCACCCTCCTGGATGTCCCCCTCCCTCTCCACCTTGAACGCCCAAGGCCTCCCTGCCCACACATCCTCCCGTGCCTCCAATGCCCGTCTGATGCCTAAGTTCCTTACAGATCAGACAGCCCAGGCCCTGAGAGATTGGGACCATGCTTGGGGACACAGGGCTCCAAGGCAGCCATGCCCGAGCTGGAATTCAGTAGTCCAGTTCTGGGCCTGGTGCTCTTTTTACTGCCAAGTGACAGGCCTAGGCTGGAATCTTCCCTTTACCAGACAGATCCCCTCTCCACGCTCCTCCATCATCTAGCCTCTTGTTTTACAGATGAGAAAAAATTGAGATGAGGTGACTTTCCCTGGGTCACAGAGCAGGATGGCTAGGGGATTCCCAGGACAGAATTCAGGTCTCTCTTCATCACCACAGTACTCTGAGGTCCACGGACAACGCGGTCCCCCTCCCAGCGGGGATGGAACAATCCTCACCGGGAAGAACACTGGCAGGCGGCCCACTTCCAGTCACACTGGGCTTTCTGGATCAACAGCCCGGCTGTTGTGCTGAGATCCGGGAGCACAAAAGGCCCCACAGCGGGAAGGGGCAGGGGCGGGAGTGTGGGCAGCCCGGCTCACTGTGACAATCGGAGCTTTCAGAGCACAGAGGTCGAGTATCAGCAGAGACTGGGGACAAAGGGGGCATTCTTGGCCCTGGTGCTGGACAGAAGAGCTAGACAATTCCCAGGGGAGGCGCCGAGGGGCACACTGGGACAAGAGGGCCCCGAGAACCAGGCCCCGTCTCAGCTCACTTCTCCTTTCTAGGCCTCAGTTTCCCACTGGAAACCAACTCTGTAGGCCTATCTTTAAGGTAACTTCCAGCTCTGAGAATCAAAAACCAAGGGGCTGTCAGTCTCACAGTCAAGGACACTGTCCCGGCAGCCACCCAAGCCCCAGGTTCTTCCCTGAACTTCTGAGCCTCCATGTCCTCACCTGCAAAATCAGAAGGTATATACTCTCTGCCTCACAGGGATGTTGTAAGCTTTAAATAAACTAAAGCTATGCAAGCATTTAGCAGGATAGGCACATAGTTTAGGTCCTGGTGTTATTACTATAGGTCTGTCTCTATTTTCCCAGAAAACAAATACCCTATGTTACTACTTCATACCTGCATCAGTGGGAAATGGCAATCTCATGGGACACCAAGGCCCCAACTCCTATCCAAAAACCTGCAATGGAGGCAGCCTTTGAACAAAAGTCCTGAGGTTGCCAGGGCAGACCAGCCTCTGGCCTGGGATCCCTCACAAACCCCCTATAATCCAGAGAATGACATGACTTGTCCAAGGTCGCCCAGTTGGCCACTAGCAGAGAGATACTAGGACCATGGTACCCAACTCCCAGACTGGCACGCTTTAGGGTGCCAAGATAAGAACCTAAAGTCTAGTTTTGGGGTCATCTCCCCACATCATCTCCTGTATCAAGAAGAGAAGAACAAAGAATGCAACAGCCACCTCCTCCCTGAGACTTACTTTGCTCCAAGCCAAGGTAAAGGCCATTGGGTCAGGGACACTGGTCTCCACAGCCAGAAGGAAAACCTTCTGCTGCTAATAAACAGAAGCTCTGAAGCGGACCTGGGACTGCAGAAGCCTAGAACCAGCCCCAAGAGGGAAGAGGAGAGGCAGGCTTCGGTGGGTGGCAATTAACTCACCAACCCAGAGCCTTTCACTGGCCTGGCACTGGGGTCCCAGGCAGGGCTGGGTGGAAATGTTCCAACCACAGGGCCTGGGCACAGCAGGGACCTGCCTGGCCCAGGCCCACCCTTCCCAGAAAGCCCCAGGTCACAGAGCCTTTCCAACCTTGGGTGCCTGCTCCTCTGGGTGCCTAAGAAACAGGCTGGCTGGCTGGGGTGTGGTTGGGGGTGCCTAAGAAACATGACACCAGGGTGGGGCCTGTCTGCCACCCAGGGCGGGGCAGAGGAATGAGCTCACAGTGTTGAATAGCACCCTTGGCTGAGGTAGGTGTGGGGTGCCACCAGGGTCAGGGACTTGCCCAAGGCCACACACGGGGAGGTTTGTGCCAAGAGGCTTCTTTCTACTCTGGAGGCACCCAGATGCAGTCCTGGCCCACATGTCCTCTGCACCAACCCCAGCCCTCCATGGTCACTTTGCTGTTGGGACTCCCCTAGATCTTGGCAACAGGGTGGGATGAAGACTGGAGGCCCTAGGCAGGAAGGAAAAGATGCAGCAAAGGGAAGCAGGTGGCTGGTGGGGAAGGTTCTGCCTCTCTGATGAGCAGCTCTGGCTGCCTCCCCAAACCACCCCAGTCCCTGCACACTTTCCAAGGCGTGGACTCTGAGAGACGCCTCTTTGTGAAAATCAGGCCTTCCATCTGGTAAACTGAACTGGGCCCCAGCGGGAAGGGAGGCCAGAACAGTTCTTCATAGCTTTATCTGCTAGAGGTCACTCAGAATGGACAGGAGCAACAGATGGTTCTGGGCTCCGTGGACAGCAGCTGACCCAGCACCCATCAGGGAGCTCTTTGGGTCGTGCTGGCTTTTGCAAGTGTGCGCTGCTCATAGCATCATGTATGTGTGTGACAGAAAGACAAGGACACTGAGGTAGTGCCTGTGCTGTGATGAGGCTGAGGTGTGGGGAAGTGTGAGAATTCTCGTAAGGCAAGTGGGTCACACAGTTTGTTAACTGGAACACATCAAGCTAACGTTGATAGCACTAGTAATGTTCTGAGAGACTTGTGGGAGACCACTCAGAGGACGAAGGGGAGAGAATTCTAGCTTCCTCTGCATTCCCAGAGGCCAAACACACCCAGTGCAAATGCCCACCCACTCCTCTCTAAACCAGGTCACACCAGCAGGGGCAGCACCAGCCAGAACTAGAAATCCTCCCTTCACAAAGCACTGGCCTAGCTCAGGAGTGCCACATGGCCCGGGCTAAATTAAGCAAAGAGTAAGCAAACATCAAAGGTCACAGGGTTTTCAGAGCATGTTGATTAAAGCACCAGATAAAGCAATGAAGAACTGTTCTGTCCGGTTTTTTCTGTTAAATCTAGTTTCAAAATATCTGAAGCTCTGATCATTCCCTCTGTAGCGGTGCCTGGAATGTTTTTAAGTGAATGAGGAATTGACGGGGTCGGGCATGTGGAGGCTGCTCCCCCAGCATGGGCAGCCAGGGGAGCGGGAAAAGGGGTGGAAGGGGCAGTAGCTAGAGCCTCCTACCAGGCCAGCTGCGCCTGCACAGGACCAAGACCCCCTCTGGGGATGGCGCCGTCCTGGGCTCCTGCAGGCTGCCTCTGGCTTTTATCACTTCCACAGCAGCCTCTGAGACCCAAAGCGAGGAGGCCAGTGCCAGCCTAGTTCCCATAACTTGGAGGGATACTTGGCCTAGGACTTCCTTCCTTCCTTTGTTCCTGGGCCTGAGTCCTCAACTCTGGGCTCCCCCAGTCCCTCCAGAAGATAGGGACTCATCCTCATTGCCCCCAGACCCTAGCCTCTGCTTCAGCCCTGACACAAGCCCAATCTGACAGCAAAAATCTATAAGAACCCAGGGAGCCAGAAGAAAAAGTGCTGAAAAGAGTATTTGGAGTATCTGCCAGACCCTACCCCAAGGTCTGTGTCACAGGTTGATCCTGTGTGGCCAGGGTCACAGGTTGATCCCCACTGGTGGGAAAGGGTCATGCTTCAGTGTCCTGGAAATTTGGGACTCCAGTCTCACTCCCCAACAGTAGGTCACACCAGTTGTGGGGGGCTGGCCAGACCAGTGAAGAATGTCCTCTACTTCTGAACCCTGGGAGCTTTGCTCTGGGTGGGAAGAATATATAACCACCCCTTGGAGGGGTTCTGCATCTACAGGGTTCTGTATCCATTCTGCAATCCAACCAGCATTCAGAAAAAAATAAAAATATATAAAAAAAAAATACAACAAAAATAATACAAGTTAAAGAATAATACAGTATAACAACGACACAGCATTTATATTGTATTCTGTATGGTAAGTAATCCGAAGGTGACTTATGGAAGGATGCACATAGGCTAATGATGTACAAATAACACATCATTTTATATGAGGAGTTTGAGCATCCAAGAATTTTGGCATAGGTGAGGGACGGGGCTTCCTGGAACCAATGCTCATAGATACTGAGGGGCGACTGCATATGCTCAGGTGCTCGGCCAAGAGGGCCATGGTGTCTCCTACCTCCTTTCTCCTGCCATTACTTCAAAGCCATGCCCAGGGCCAGCTAATGCCAGAGCCATGACAAAATAAATGGGCAGGTGCTTCCCTGGCCTCGGCTGTGACCACGATACCCACTGATCAAGACCAAGAAATAGGCTGCTCCTCCCCTTCCCTGGTGCTAGAGGGGGGATGTACTTGGGATGAACAGGCATGCTAACTGTAGCCCAGGACCCTCCAGGTGTCCCTGCTCAGTGCTGCCTGCTGTGAACACGTGGAAGGAGTCACCTTCCTTGACACCCCTCATGAGACACAAGAAGCCCCAGGACAAGCTGGGACAATAGCAGATGTCAGGAGGGGCAAGACCCAGACAGTTGGGGAAATCACTCAGGTCCCGTCCAGCATCAGGCTGGGGTCAAGGCGCTGTACTTCTGCTTTTTGTTTGTTTTTTGAGTCTGGGTCTCACGCTGCTGCCCAGGTTGGAGTGCCGTGGCACAATAACAGCCTCGACCTCTTGGGCTCAGGTGATCTTCCCTCCTCAGACTCCCAAGTAGCTGGGTCTACAGGCATCATGCCCAGATAATTTTTATTTTTGGGAGAGATGCAGTCTCGCTATGTTGCCCAGGTTGGCTTCTCCTGCTTCTAAGAACTGCTCTGTGCCCGGCTCCCCAGTGCTTGGCCACTTGCCCCTGTATGAGTGGAGACAGCTTGCCCGGGTTTGGGGTTGGGGCCAATGGGTTTTCTTCCTTATATCCAGGAGTCTGTTTACCTTTCACTGCTTGGCTGTGGCCATAGTCCATATACCTCCCTGGAAACCCAGAAGGAAAGCATCAGCCTAATGATATGTTTTCATTTGTCACAGTGAATTTTCAGGGTGAACAGGGAGACTGTGGCACTGGAGACTGAACTTGTTACACTGTGACTCAGAGAAATCCTCTTCATGAAGGAAAAGTAGAATTGGGAACTCACCTCCTCCTGGAAACTGACCTTGATTGCTCCTCATCCTTCTGTCCACCTTACACTGCTCCTTCCTCCCACCATCAACAGCCAGGCTGCCCCTTCCCTAGCCTCACCATTGGCCCATCTCTTGTTTTTAAAAAAATCATACTGCATTAGAGTTGGAAGGGACAAGATTTTTTGTTTATGTGGTATTTCCCCTTGATGATAAGAAAACAAAAAATATATTTCTGAGAACTAGAGAAGAAATATAAAGCAGAGAATAAATATCACTCTATTCCTATCCTTAATAATAATAATAATTATTAGAGATAATCATTAATATGTTAGGCCAGGGGCAGTGGCTTATACCTGTAGTCCCAGCACATCGGGAGGCCGAGGCGGGAGAGTCACTTGAGACCAGGAGTTCAAGACCAGCCTGGGCAACATAGCAAGATCTCACCTCCACAAAAAATAAAAATATTAGCCAGGGGTGGTGGCACACCAGCTATAGTCCCAGCTACTCTGGAGTTTGAGGCAGGAGGATCACTGAACCCAGAAGGTCAAGGCTGCAATGAGCCATGATCACACCATTGCATTTCAGCTGTGCAACACAGGCAAGGGGAAGACAGAGAGGAGTGAGAAAGAGAGAAAGAGGGAAGGAAGGAGAGAGAGTTCACCCATTAACAATCTATTTCCTTCCATTTTTTTCTAGGCCTTTTTTTTCATTGTGGAGATCATACTGCATTTACAATTTTGTATCCCATTTTTAAAGTTTTTAAAATTATAAATCCTGGAGGCTGGGTGTGGTGGCTCACACCTATAATCCTAGCACTTTGGGAGGCCCAGGCAGGAGGATCACTTGAGCCTAGGAGTTCAAGACCAGCCTGTGCAACATAGTGAGATTTTGTCTCTACAAAAAATTCAAAAAATGCCAGGCATGGTGGCGTACACCTATAGTCCCAGCTACTCAGAAGGCTGAGGCAAGCCAATCACTTGAGCCCAGGAGGTCAAGGCTACCAGGTAAGCCAGGATCGTGCCACTGCACTTCAGCCTGGGCAACAGAGTGAGACTTTGTCTCCAAAATAAATAATTAATTAATTAAAGATAAGATAATGAATCATGGGCCGCACTGAGCCTCCAAACACCCGACAGCCCCTGCCAGGGGGTACCTTTCCCGGGCTGCACATAATGACCCTCTTCCTGAGGGGACATCATCCAAGGAAGGAACACACTTCACAGGCTTGACATCTGCAGGCTTGACTGAAATCTCTCACCCCTGACCTCGGGCCCTGGGCTTCCCAAGCTGTGAGCACTGTGGGGCCCCCGGAGGTTTCGAAGCCAGCTGCCTTCATCTCAGCTTAGCTCCCTCACTGGAAAGGAGGAGGTGATGCCCGGTTGACCTCCAGGGCACTGCAAAATGACAAACCAGATGGCCTTTGTGGCAGTGCGCGAGAAACAAGAACTGTCGCCCACTCAGGGGAGATTGTTTATTAAGGCTGTGGATGCTGCTAACTGTGAAATGGACCTGGGTTCCAGCCAAAAAAGCACAAACCCATGACCCCTGGAAAGCTGCAGGCCGGCGGGAGCCCTGCTGGCTGCACAGAAAAACCTCCTGGTGGGCGAGTGGATTCAACATCCCTCTCTCCCCTCAAGGCTGCTGGAAACTAAACCAGGCTTCTGGATCTGCCAGTTCGGAGGAGAGAGTCTGGCAAGGTGGAAAGAGGGAGAAGGGAGGAGCAGGGAGCAAGACTGGATTAGGAAGACCCCTGAGCTGTCCCTGCCTGCTGTGTGTTCTTGGGAGAGTTTCATAACCTCTGTGTGCCTCAGTGACTCCACTGATATGATGGAGGCGGGAGCAGCGACTCATGCCTGTAATCCCAGCTCTTCTCAGGTCATAGCAGGAGGGTTACTTGAGGCCGGGGGTTCAAGATCAGCCTGGGCAACATAGCAAGATCCCATCTCTACAAAAAATAAAAAATATTAGCCAGGGATGGTGGCATGCCTGTAGTTCTAGCTACTCAGGAGACTGAGACAAGAGGATCGCTTGAGCCCAGCAGGTCGAGGCCATAACAAGCTATGATTGCATGGCTCTGCCGGGGCTCATAAAACGGGAAGACAGCCCCTGGATTCCAGGGGTATAGTCTCTCCTGTGTTGAGGGTCCCACCACAGGAGGCTCAGGTAGAACAGGTATGGTGGGACCTCAACACAGTTGAGGAACCCAGGCACACTGTGAAGAGTCTCACAGGGTCGGACTCTGGGCCTTCGGACAGCTCTGCACAACCCAGAGCGTGGGACAGCAATGGCCGCCTAAGCCCTCAATTTCTGACAAGGAAGATGATTTGGCTGCCACCTTGATGCACTGGCCAGGAGCACCGGGACCAAACTGAGTGGGTAGTAGTAAGAGCAGAGAGACCTGGGCTACTGCAAACATGCCCTGCTCCTCAAGTCCTGCCTGCAACAGCAAAGCAGGAGGAAGACAAAGGAGGATCACGAAAGGAAAGATGGAGCCGGGGGCCGGAAGTCAGCCCCGCTCCTCCCTAGCTTCTTGCTTGGGCCTCAAGCAAGAGAAGCTAATGAGGGTCCTCTCTGTGCCAGAACCATGCCAGGTCCTTCACACATTCCATCATCAGATCCTCATCCCAATCTCCAGGAGTTAGGAACTGATCTCCTAAGGACACAAGAGACCAAGTGCCCTAAGGCACACAGCTTGCGTGAGGCACACAAAGTCTTCCATGAAGGAGTTGGAGACAAGAAGCCATGAGAAGCTTTCCAGTTCTAAGGGGACCTGATTCTGAAAACCCTGCCAGGGCCAGATACCAGGCCTCACCCCCTCAACCCATCTCTCCCTCACTCCTGTAACCTGCATAAAAGCATCCTATAGGCACTGCCTCCAAAGCATACACCAAACCCTGCTATTAATCCCAGACCCACAGCCCTCACTTGGTTCCCTCTTCCCAGGACAGTCCCCACAGTCTCCCATCTGGTCCCCCTGTGTCCGCCCTCACCGCCTCACTGTCCGTTCTCCACTCAGCAGTCATAGTAAAATGTACACTGGATCAGTTCTCTTCCCTGCATAAAACTCTACAAAGGTTCCTACGGCCTTAAGAAAATTCTGAGTTCATAAACTGGCCTGCGAGGACCTATGTAGCCTGCCCAGCCAACCCTTCCAACTTCACTTCCCTCCCTCTCCTCATCACTCACCCCTCAGCCACACAGCCCCCATACTGCTCTGCAAATCCACTGAGCTCATTTCTGCTGGCCTGTCCCCTGCCTGGGCCTCCCTGGGGGCTCCCTTTCAGCACTGTCCTCTCACCACCCTCCAGGCACCTCATGTCACCTGTTTTGTTTTCTTATTGGCTGCTTTATGTGTTCAATGCCCATTTCAGGGGTCATCTGTCATGCTCACCGCTGTACCCTCAATTAACAGCCCAGGATACCCACAGTTGGTACTCAGTACACATGTGGCAGATACACAGATCCATAGGCCCACCTGGTTCCGGAAGGTCAAGGCCACCACACCACCAATGAGCTCCATTATGAGGCAGATCCCAAGGATGTACATAAACTGGAAAACAAAATTCAGAGTTTCACTTGAAGGTGGCCAGAGGATGTGTATGGGGGCAGGGGAAGCGTCATCTGCTCCAAGACCAGCACAAAAAGGAGAGCCACCCTTTGGGAGCACATAGCGGCTCCTGGGCCTTCTGGCCCCTTCCTCTGTGAGAACACAGGACGTGGACAGTCATGCCCCGGGAAAGCCCGTCTCTGGAGCCAGAGGGCAGGAAGAGTGACGCAGTCATTCCAGCCAGTTTGTTACTGATGCTTGTCCCAGGGTCCTTATTAGGGTCTGGATGGAAAAGCACACCCTTCCCCCACCACCACCATGAGGAGAGCTGGGCGTCACTGTAGCTGAGCCAGAGAGGACAGGCCTAGCTTGATGGGCAGGCTGGGGCAGTGTTTCCAGCTCCCCCCAGGCAGCCCCTCAGAAATGGCTTCCCAGATCCCCCAGAGTAGTTGAGGAGGGTGCCTGAAGTTTATAAGATATGCACTGCACCCCTGCCCTTTATTGGAGAATGAGCATTCTCCAAACTGATTCCAGCAACTTCCAGCCTCAGGCAGCACCAAGACCCGGTTCACAGGGGCTCACAGGGGCCTCCCCATTTGAAGGGAGACAATGAGATCAGGACACACACTTGAATGCAGAGTGAATGGATCTGCCTACTCACTACCCCCAGCTTTGGGGAGTCATCCCTCACCCCACAGTGAGGGGATGCAGGTAGGGCTGATACCATCCCCTGGCCCCAGAATGGCCAGTCCTGGGACTTCAACCCGAATTAGCAGGAAAGATTCCTAGGGACCCAAAGCTATAAGGACTCTGCTGGAGGCCAGGCACAGTGGCTCATGCCTGTAATCCCAGCACTTTGGGAGGCTGAGTCAGGAGGATTGCTTGAACTCGGGATTTCAAGACCAGCCTATGCAGCATAGTGAGACCCTGTCTCTACAAAAACCCAAAACTTAGCTGGGCGTGGTGGCATATGCCTGTAGCCCCAGCTACTTGGGAGGCTGAGGTGGATGGATCACCTGAGTCCAGGAGGTTAAGGCTGCAGTGAGCTGTGATCATGCACCACTGTACTTTGGCTAGGGTGAAAGAGGGAGATCCTGCCTCAAATTAAAAAAAAAAAAAGGTGGGGGGACTCTGCTGGTCTGAGGCCGGCAGCAATCACTGCAAAGGGAACTGCCCCAGCTGGGAGGTGGTGAGAGACTGCCCAGCCTTGCCCAGCGGCGCCGTCTGAACCCCTGGACCCAGTGTGGGTGTGCTGGTTACAAGAGCCAATGACTCACCACCTCCTCCTTTTCTGTCTTTACTTGCTCTCATTTGAGTGTGGTTTCTCCTACCCACAACGGAGGGTCCAGATGAACACAGAGTTTAATTAAGAACAGTATTCAAGTCGGCTCTTATACGCAGAAGAGGAGTTGGCCCGAGCACTCTTGGGCCAATGTGGTCAGATGGGCTGATCTAAGGAACCCTCTGGAGGAGCTGGTTAGAGGCAAGGACTAAGGAAACTGAGCTGCCCAAGGGCCCAGGGTGGTCTCCTCAGCTCTCCTGGCCACTCCCGGGAGCTTCCCCCACCTCCAGGCTGGGGGGTGGGCGGGGCCCACTCACCGACTGGAGAAGGCACAGGTTGTCACGAAGGGACGCCAGCACACCAATGAAGGAGACGATGAACATGACGACCCCCAGGAGGATGAGGATGATGGCTGGGGCCAGGAAGGCACTTTCGAGTGTTTTGTATTTCTGCCGCTCGACCTCTGCATAGATCCCCACAGACAGGACCAGACCCCCAATCAGCTGCAGGGAGAAAGCAGGAGAGAGAAGGACTGTGGTCACTTGGTTTTCCTACAAAGAGTTCATCCGGGAGCTGTGGTACCTGCCATTGAGGGACTTGTCCCAAGTGACCACACACAAGGAACTCTGTTATGGGCTAAACTGTGTTCCCCCAAAGTTCCTCTGGTCAAGTCCTAACCCCCAATGCCTCTGAACGTGACTATATTTGGAGACAGGGCCCTTAAAGAAGTAATTAATGTTAAAATGAAGTCATTTAGGGTGGCCCTAGTCCAATAGGACTGGTGTCCTTTTAAGAAGAAGAGATTATGACACAGACACACACAGAGAGAAGTCTATGTGAGCACAGGGAGAAGGCGTCATCTGCAAGCCAGGGAGGCCTCAGAAGAAACCACCACCACCACCACCACTCCACCCCCCCACCCCGACTGTGAGAAGATAAATGACTGTTGTTTAAGCCACTCAGTCTGTGGCACTTAATGTTATGGCAGACTGAACAGACCAACACAAGCCCCATTTGGAGATGCAGCTTTAGAGGAGGTACTGGTGGGTGAGGGGAAACCTCACTAGCTAGAAGATTAGAGATCATAGGTTCAAGTCTCAGTTTTGCCACTTGCTTTTGACAGGCATTTGACAACAATGGGTCTGTGTGCTCATCTGAAAAATGGGTATGAAGATATATGTATCTGCCCTGCTCACACCATGGCTTTAGCAAGAGAATGAAGGTGGAAACACAGCAAACCTGGAAGCACAGAGCAGCTGTGATGTGTGTTAACCAGGCAGGTCACCCTAAGGACATTCTGGAGCAGCTCAGGGGCACAGACATTTCACACAGTATCCTAAACAAGAAATTTATGGCCGGGTTCGGTGGCTCAGCCTGTAATTCTGTGCTTTGGGAGGCCAAGGTGAGTGAATTGCCTGAGCCTGCGGGTTCAAGACCCGCCTAGGCAACCTGGCGAGACCTCATCTCTACAATAAATTAAAAAAGAAATGAGCCGGGTGTGGTAGCGCACACCTGTAGTTCCAGCTACTTGGAAGGCTGAGGCGGAAGGATCGCTGGAGCCCAGCAGGTCGAGGCTGCGGTGGCCGAGAGCGGCCACTGCACTCCAGTCTGGGCAACAGAGTGAGACTCCAGCTCAAAAAAAACAAAAAAAGAAATTTACTTTCAGGATGACCACAGGGGAGGCCAAAGTTTAAAGCAGGGGAATTTTGAGGGGACTTTTTAAAGCAGACTCCCCCATTATTAACTTAGTTCTAACAGTGGAAACACTGTAGACATTATGTTGCAGAATACCCCGAAACTTCCCATCAGGAAAACCCAGGCTACTGACTGCTCATCAAACGTGTGTTCGCCCCAGGTCTTCGCACAGGGGGTTCCTACTGCCTAGAATAGTCTTCCTCCTGACATCCACATGGCTCACTTCCCCACCTCCTTCCTATCTTGTCTCTACTCTTTCCACCAGCTCAGGGAGGCCTTCCAGGACCACCATGTTTACAAGTAGAAAGGCCCGGTTGGGCGTGATGGCTCACGCCTATAATTCCACACTTTGGGAGGCTGAGGTGAGAGGATAGCCTGAGTCCAAGGGTTCGAGATCCGCCTGGGTGACTTGGCTAGACCTCATCTCTACAATAAATCAAGAAAAATTAGCCAGGCGTTGTGGCACACGCTGTAGTTCCAGCTACTTGGAAGGCTGTGGCAGAAGGATCGCCTGAGCCCAGCAGTTTGAGGCTGCGGTGGCCGTGAGCGTGTCACTGCACTCTAACCTGGGTGACAGAGTGAGATTCTGACTCAAAAAAACAAAACAAACAAACAAGTAGAAAGGCCCTCTCCCTGAAATACCTGGTCCCTTTCCTTGTTTTATTTCCCTCCTTTGCACTTACCAATATTTAACATACCACATTATGTCTTTCTTTCTTTCTTGTCTTCCCCACCAGGTCAAAAGCTACACGCAAGGAGGGATTTTTTGACTGTTTCAGATATTCCCACCCCCAAACAGACCTGACACTGAGGAAGAACAATCGAAGTCTGTTGAGTGAACAAATACTGGGCTTTCAAAGAAAGCCCTTTGGGTTTGAGTCAGACTCTGTCTACTTCATCTCCTGCCAGTACAAGGATCCCGACTTTCTGGGCCACACATTCCAGAGGGTAGGGACAAGTCATCAGGTAACCAGACTTCTCTACTGAGCCGAAGGCAGCCTGAGAGAGTGATGGGAGCTGTGGTCCTGTCAGTTAAAGGCCTAGAAAAAGAAGTAAGGGATAATACAGACAAGATGTGGCAGGAGGTGATGTGAGCATAACTACCCCAGTGTCACTGTCCCAAACACGGAGGAGGCCAGCTACTCACTGGCCTACTAGAGCCTCCAAATGACTTAAGGAGGCTCCTTTTTATCATCACGTTCTTATGGTATATCCCCCTGGGCCTTCTTCTAAACAGTAAGACTGAGTCCTAACTCCTGAGTAAAGGGAAGTGCCTGCTTCCTCCTAAGCTTTGACAAGGGACAGGGATGCCAAAAGCCAAACAAGCAGACCATGCTTACACAGAAATGCCGGATAACAGATGACCAGGAAACCATCTCACTTGAACACTCTACTATATTTCAGGGCTAGGTGCCATTCCCCTCAGTTTGAAAAGATAATCTGGAACCACTGAGACCCATTTCTCTCAGTCTAGAAGGAAGGCCTTTCCAACATACGCAGGCCAGGAGAGCCTCAGGACATTGACTAACTCGGCCATCAGTCGCTTATTAACAAGTTGGCCATACAAGGCAGGACACGGACACACACACACACACACACACACACACACACACACACACACCCCCTCTACAGGAAAACAGTGACTACAGAAAATAAAATCTACCTTTGATAGAGAAATATTGACCAGGGCTATCTGGTCCAAGGCCAACCTAAGCCCCATGGGACCTCTGAGAACTTGGGACCTCTGAGTAAATGATGAGCAGCCTTTAAAAAACCAAATTCATCTTCCGCCTCACTCCATCCACACGGATTTGCTCACTGAAGCCTAGCCCTGATGGAGGTAAAGAGCCCCAGACTCATCCACCTCAAAGCTGAGAATCATGGTTAAATAAGAACCGCACAGAGCACTGTGAGTTCAGAGCCCAGACAGAGAGTGAATAAAATGTTAAAGGACTCAGCTCACTTGAGGGTGGCAGAAGTGGATCTTTATCTTCTATCTTAATGAACAGTGTAATTCTCACCCTGTCACTGAACCAACACAACTATTACATCTGCATATTTTCAGAATTGGCCCCAGATGCTTGAGAGTCCTATGCTCTATGCTTCCTGAGAAAGGAAGGAAGGAAGGAAGGAAGGAAGGAAGGAAGGAAGGAAGGAAGGAAGGAAGGAAAGAAGGAAGGAAGGAAGGGAGGGAGAAAGAAAAGAAAGAAAGCAGACAGGAGGGGAAAAAGGAAAGAAAGAAGGAAGAAAGGAAAGAAAGAAAGAAAGAAAAAAGGAAGGAAGGAAGGAAAGAAAGAAAGAAAGAAAGAAAGAAAGAAAGAAAGAAAGAAAGAAAGAAAGAGAGAAAAAGAAAGATCTTCTCTGGCAGTATGGGGACACCAGCACTGACTGACACAGATCGGTCCTCCATAGTCCCACCCCCAGCCTGCTCCCATCCCTCCTTCCTGCCTGAGGTTGTGCTCCTGTGTTAAGATACTCTGCTCTGGAAACCATCCCCCAAACACCAGAGCTGTCATTGACCCCAATTCTGAGCAGAACTGATCCCAGCCCTCTCTATAAAGGCAGTCAGTGGCTTCTCCTGTTTTTATAAGCTCCCCAGAGCCCCAGGATCCGCTCCAGAACAGCCTTGCACCAGAAAACAAAACTCTCCTCAGTCTGATCTCACTCTCTCCTGTTATAAAGCACTGTCATTTCCTTGCTAGTTAGCTTCAAGACATATCCAGACCACAAAAGCCATGGGAAAAACTCCCAGGGTAAATGCAAATCCAGCCTCCCCACTCTCCCACCACTGTGCACCAAACCACCCAGGCCATGTTCTTCCTGGTGCAGCAAAGGAGCTGCCATCTCAACCCTCCCTGCAGACTGGCAGACAATCTCCAGCCAGTTCCCCACATAGCACAGGCCCATCTGGGCTCCCCATTCAAGTGTCCCGAGGGGCAGTGGGCATGGGGAGAGGCCGGCATAAGCCTTCTCAGGAACTTCAAAATTTCCAAATGATATTTACATCTCTGATGACATCAGTTCATCCATCTGAGTATAAAATTATCTGTCAATGCCAGCATGCAATCCCATCCGCTCCTCTCTGCTAATTATAGCCCTTCGCCAAGCAGCCGGCCACTCAGCTAGCACAGGAAGCAAATGGACCATCTGTCAAGCAAGACAGCTTCAGTTAAACAGGACTGGGGGTGGGGACACACACGGCCATACCCATTTAGGGCCAAAGAGGGAAAGAGCATGCTGCTGGCAGCCACAGGCCTGGGCCCAAAAGCCCAGGCTTTGTGAACCATGTGGCATCTTCAACAGGCTGCACAGAAGCCCTGTCACCCAGCATGAATCAGGCCTGAAGGTCCCCTCTGAGTCCTGCCTCCTACACAGGGGAGAAGCCAACGCCAGGCAGCTGCTGGGAAGCAGGAGGCCCTGTAAGACATTCCAGCACCTGCATCTTTTTTTCAGGAAGCATCTGGTCACCCATTCCAGCTGGCTCACCTCCAGCTGGGGCAAGTCTGTGCTTAAAGAGAAACTGCAAGGCTCGTTTTCACCCCAAATGGCAAACACCAGGTTTCTCCTGTGTTCCAGGCCCTGTATTAGGCTCCATAGGGCCACAAGGGGTCAGAAGACTAGATATGGGCAAGACTGAGAAGGCAGTGTAAGAAAGGCTGGAAATGACGGCCCCATGCATGGGAAGTCTTCAAACTGGAGATTGAGAAAAATCACATCTTCACTTTTGTTAACCTCTAACTGAAATGTTCCTCCCATTTTTGAATACGGACAACAAATTGCAGTAGGGCTAACAGCACCTGTGACTTTG